TCCTGCGTACGGTATACCCCAGCGGCCTGGTACTTTCGTTCCAGGGCGAGGAAGGCTCCACGACCGTTGTAGGAAGACCCGATAGGCGCGTATGCCTGCACAGTCTGCGAGGCCGCGCTCTGGTAGCCCCTGGTTTCAGATGTGGCGAGCATCAGCCGTGTAAAGATCTGTTCGTTTTTGTCCTGGTATCCTTCCAGGGCAGATTGGTATGCCGAAGTCTGGTCCGGCGTAGCACTAGGTCCGGGATCCGAAGGGGCTTTCTCCACTCCCAACAGAACCTTGTGCAGCTTGTCCTCCATAAACAAGGAGGTCTGCAGGGTTCGCCAGCCGACGTAGTCGCCTGGGTCACCACTGAACTTGGGGAATCCTGTTCGGAATTCGCCTGACGAGCCGGTAGCCATGCTTACCGACTCTGGTGACTCTGGTGTACAAGCTCGAGCAACTCGAGGCTCAAAACCTGTTGAGGCAACAGCACTGTCACTGCAGTCGCTGTACAGCTATTCCTTCAGCTGTGGCTACAAAGTAGCTAGCATGTGATGCGAGGTTAGGTAGGCAAACACACAGAGTGATATTATTTTCCACACAGACGCCCAAGCTGTCTTCGCCTGACGATTACAGACTTGGTAATGCCTTCACAATACTGCATAAACCCATGCAGTTGAATAGAGTCGTTCTTGTACTGCAATTACTCCAAGAATCACGCTGGTGCTGGTGAATGGACGTGCTTCACTTCATCCATCGAGCGGACAGACAGTTCTCATTATTTTGTCGTGCTGAAGAATAAAGGGGGCGGCGGGTGTGAGTGTTTGGCGAGGTGAGGCTCTCTCAGACAACACACGACGAGTATAATACGTTCGTCATGGCCGAAGAATGTTAGAACGTGTGAGCGTGAACAACCAGCACCTTTGACCGCTCTTATTTGTATTCTAGACCATACCTTCATGTATGCACACAACGTTCCATACCCGATAAACGGGTCCTCTGCAACACAAGTTGTATCGTACAGTTAAATCGTCCCCGCTGGAACGATTTTTTTTCTGCTTTCTAGTATCTACGTGAGTATCCCTCGTCGACGACTCTTTTGAACGAAAAGTAGCTGCTGCTGCTATGTAATAGGATGCTCACCCACACATGAATTAGCGCCTTCTATCGTGCTTGATGCTTCCTCTGAGGAGCCCCATGTACGAGCGAAGAAATTGTGGAAGGCCGGTCCCGTGCACAAGGGCGATGTCCGATTGCAACACCGCATCCCACATTATCTACAAGTAGATTTCGTGGAGGTGGACACGGAACATAATAATACAGAGATACATGTATTATTGAAAGTAACTATATTCGGGGATGTACACGCTACATAATAGTGGAGCGTCCGGGCCACAGCACGGCGACCAATGCAGCCGCCCGCGATCTTTCTCGGGGACCTAAAACACCGGAACACCAATTGCCTCGTTTCCACCTTGCGAAGAGATAAGTTCCACGCGCTACCAGTACACCAGTGAATGCTTGTTGCCTGTAAGCGATAATCTTGCGTTTCTAAATATATATGCCACAAAGAAAGGCCCGGTTGTTTTCTTTTCTTCTTTCTCTGTTACGTTATTTTTAGGGAAATGGACAAGAAGTGGGTACAGTCGACCCCGCTTTAAAGACACACCACGTTTTGACAAAAAAAAAAGTGTCTTTAACGCGGGGAAGTGTCTTTGAAATTCCGGGGCCACTAACGCACCATCCCCGGTGCCAATGAAGGCGAAACATACATGTGTCAAAAGGTGCGCATTCGCAGCAGAAAGGCGACCACAAGAAGTGTTGTTTGAAACCTACGACACAAGGTGATTTGAAGGTCGCAACCACTGCTTCTATTGTGCTGCAATACATACTTGCATACCATCGTTTGAATTTCCCCGTACTGTACCACCAAAACGCTGAAAGCGATGGTGTTCTACGACCTACGCATCGTACATGTACACGACGGTAGTGCGCTGGTGTTGATATGGGCTTAATTATTTGCTTTATTTTATTTTTTACGCGTTGTCCACCCCGTGAATATCTTGCCCAAGATCTCGCTACCGCACCTGAGGAATATCGAAGGTTGTAAAACGACACTAGGAAAACGTAGGTTACGCAGAAACACAGAGAACAAAACTGTCGGGAAAGCACAGCGACAAAGAGGACACCGCGCCTCCCAAAAGGTCAAAACGAGGCACAACACAACACAAACGCCAAATTCAACCTCACGAGACTTCACCAAGGCAAACAACGAACGCTGGCAATAAAAGTGCTTTGCTCTCGAAATGCTCTCGAAACCAAAAACTACACCCGCCACATATCCCGAAGAGTCGCCTNACAAAACTGTCGGGAAAGCACAGCGACAAAGAGGACACCGCGCCTCCCAAAAGGTCAAAACGAGGCACAACACAACACAAACGCCAAATTCAACCTCACGAGACTCCACCCAAGGCAAACAAGGAACGTTGGCAATAAAAGTGCTGTGCTCTCGAAACCAAAAACTACACCCGCCACATATCCCGAAGAGTCGCCTGCACCTCCCCCCCCTCCTTTGCTCTTCGCTTGACCTGAGATTCATGAGTAAACGAATGCACAGTCTTCGAAAGAAGGTACGCCGTTTCGCTGTACTCGTCGTCTCTTCCATGTGTGTTCAAGTAAGAGCGGACACCTTCGAGACGAGAGCGAACCTCGCCCTCTGAAATCGTAGATTAATGCACGACTGGCCTACCGTGATCGCCTTCCTCTTCACTGGACACGTCCTCCTCGACGTGTACGTTTGACATGTTCTCCGTTACCTCTTCCATCTACCTCATCCCTCAAGTTCTCTTCATCGTCCTCTACACTAAGCCAAGTGCGCACTGCGCTGCGCACTTCTTCTGTGAGGCCAGATGCGCTCTCGACGAACAGGTTGTCCGTCAACACTCGCGGCTTAGACCTAGCGTCCAGGTCCTTGGCACTCTCCGGCATGGACATCTTCTCGACCATATCGTACAGGTCGTCCAGGGCGGCCGCCCCCGGGTCTTCTCGGTCCAACCGCGTGTCATTGTCCTTGAGCGCGCTCTCGTGCTCCCCAGGAAGAATGGTGGCCTTGAGCCAGCACCTGATCACAGTCTGGTCCGAAAAGCTCTCCCACTTTTGGGAAAGGATCTCCGTCACATCCAGCATTGTCGGCTGGCCTGCGTCGTTCAGGCCCCTGCAGCCCCTTCGAAACAATGATGCAAGGAACACAGGGTAAAAAAAAAAGGAAAGATTGTTAATCACCAGAGAGCGAGTGGATTTCGCTGGATGCGGTGTAGGGCAGGCATATTTTGATCGGAGACCTTTTTGAGGCAGCACTAGTGCTGTTGACTGCTGTTGAATGGCACTCGCCTACGGTAGTAATCCGGTACATGCCTGCACCAACTGTTGTCGAACAACACTCNTATTGTCGGCTGGCCTGGGTCGTTCAGGCCCCTGCAGCCCCTGCGAAACAATGATGCAAGGAACACAGCGTAAAAATAAAGGACAGATTGTTATTCACCAGAGAGCGAGTGGATTTCGCTGGATGCGGTGTAGGGCAGGCATATTTTGATCGGAGACCTTTTTGAGGCAGCACTAGTGCTGTTGACTGCAGTTAAATGACACTCGCCTACAGTAGTAATCCGGTACATCCCTGCACCAACTGTTGTCGAACAATACTCGCCTGACAAGCACCAACACAACTGAACCCGTAGCCATAAGAAGGAATCACTACCTTCGCCGCCTCCACAACACAGTCTTACCTTCGGATTTTGCGCGCACGCGCTGTATCCTAGTCCTCGATGAGGGCCGCCAACCTCATCAGCATCTTCGTCTTGTACTGGCACTTGAGAGCAAACAGGATCCCCATGTCCATAGGCTGAAAGACGGACGTGACGTTGGGGGGCAGAAAGATGATGACGATTTGCGGGTCGTCGTTCTTGATGCGGTGGCCTGGGCAGTTGTCCCACAAGAGAGCCATCTTCTTCCCAGTCGTCTTCTTGACAAAAGGGACGAAGACTTCGTCGAACCACCGCTGGCAAAGTGCAGAGTCCAGCCAGGCACTCTTCTGGGCGTAGTACAAGTAGGGGCAAGCTGGCTTGCGGACCTGGCGGAAAACCATGGGGTCTTTCGCCGTATGGATGATGGCCAACGGCACCTTGAGCGACCCGGTGGTGTTGCAGCAGGCGACAACAGTGCACCGATCCTTGGCCTTCATGGCCTTCGATCCCCGCGCGGTCTTCTGGTTGAGTCCCGCTGCGCCCTCTGACCTCGTGACATACGTGCCCCTCGGGAAACAGCGGTGGAAAAGCCCCGTCTCGTCCATGTTGAAGATCAACTCAACGTNGAAACAGCGGTAGAAAAGCCCCGTCTCGTCCATGTTGAAGATCAACTCAACGTCAAAGCCCTCAANATGGATGATGGCCAACGGCACCTTGAGCGACCCGGTGGTGTTGCAGCAGGCGACAACAGTGCACCGATCCTTGGCCTTCATGGCCTTCGATCCCCGCGCGGTCTTCTGGTTGAGTCCCGCTGCGCCCTCTGACCTCGTGACATACATGCCCCTCGGGAAACAGCGGTGGAAAAGCCCCGTCTCGTCCATGTTGAAGATCAACTCAACGTCAAAGCCCTCAAGCTGCTCCCGAATCTGCGCGATTTCCTTCTCAGCCGCAGCCTTGTTCACGTCACCAGCTTCCCCGTGCAGGTTGATGTGCACGAGGCCGTAGCGAGAAAAGAAGCGATGTAGCCAGCCGTTGCTCGCCGTGAAGTTGGTCACGTTCATCTCCGCCGCGAACTTCGTGGCCTGGGTCTGGATCATGATGCCGCTCAACCCGAGCTTGGTTGTCTGCATGATCGTGAGGCAGCAGCAGCAGAAGTGGATATTCGAGCGATGTTGGCGGTTGTTTGGAATCCATGTAAGCGTTCAGGTGGCTCTCAACTTGTCATCCTACCTGCTGCAACAGGTTGTAGCACAACAAAATAACGCCGGCTACTGCTGTGTAACAGACAGGAAACGAGGCGACCAGAGATGTAAAAAAGAAAAATGACCGAACGACGTGGGGTGCCTACCTCAAATCGTTGTCGTGCAATCTTGATCCACTGGTTCAAACGAACCTCCAACTCCGCGTGTATCGGCGTTGGTGTGCGTTTGGCGCCCATGTTGAGCTCTATGTCACGGGCCTTCTCAAGCGCGGCGATCATGGGGGGTTTCATCAGCTTGCTGACGTATGCCTTGCCCACATTGTAGTCTGCCGCAACCTTGCTCCTTTGCCNCAGGTGGATATTAGAGCGATGTTGGCGGTTGTTTGGAATCCATGTAAGCGTTCAGGTGGCTCTCAACTTATCATCCTACCTGCTGCAACAGGTTGTAGCACAACAAAATAACGCCGGCTACTGCTGTGTAACAGACAGGAAACGAGGCGACCAGAGATGTAAAAAAGAAAAATGACCGAACGACGTGGGGTGCCTACCTCAAATCGTTGTCGTGCAATCTTGATCCACTGGTTCAAACGAACCTCCAACTCCGCGTGTATCGGCGTTGGTGTGCGTTTGGCGCCCATGTTGAGCTCTATGTCACGGGCCTTCTCAAGCGCGGCGATCATGGGGGGTTTCATCAGCTTGCTGACGTATGCCTTGCCCACATTGTAGTCTGCCGCAACCTTGCTCCTTTGCCGGCCGCCTCGGACGGCCTCAACGATTTTCCATCGCTGCGCGATTGTCAGCTTGTTCTCGCCGTGGTCTGATCCGGACTTCGCTTTGCCACCCTTGCTGCCGCCCTTGCTGCCTCCCGCGCTGCTTCCCGCGCTGCCGCCGGCGCTGCCACCTGCGCTGCCTCCCGCGCTGCCGCCGGCGCTGCCGCCCTTGCCGCCGCCCTTGCTGCCTCCCGCGCTGCCGCCGGGGGTGCTGCCCGTGTTGCCGCCCGCGCTGCTGCCAGGACCAGGTGGAGCCAGCATCAGCCGCGGCACGTCGTTTCCCCTTTCCTTCAAGCGATGGTTCCTCCTCTCTAGACGGTTGTGTAGTGCTGCGGTCATCGGGGTAAAGTGGAAGAATTGAATGCGTGACAATTAGATCAGAAACATTGTACTACATATGCAGTTCTTGTCCTTCGCTGGAAAACCACTTGCAAAGATAAACGATGCAAAAAAACTTAATAAAAGTATTTTACAAATGTGATACTCCGTAGGTTACAATATTTCGTGCGCAACATTCTACACATATGCACAGCACACGTCGTCACTGAAGAGAGAAAGGCGCGTATGGAAGGGGAGGGTGCAGCGCTGAAGTCATCTTGCGGGGGATTTTGTGTGACTCGGGAGACCATGTCTCTCTCCAACGCAGAGAGGTTGACGCCATTTTTGAAGGCACACAACAATTTTCACGAGCAGCATCTTTCGGAGCTTCTCGTGTCCAACAGCACAATAAAGGCCATGGGTGCAAACTGTACTTTTCTAGAAGCAAAATGGCGAATGCAGGTGCGAGACATTGTTTCTGGTTCACGAGCGGGAATAATGGTACAGCAGTAGGACAAGCGAAGACGCGTGCTCGCGGCCTCGTTGCAGAGAGCCACTGCTGCACACACGCGCGCACACACACAAACGTAGGACAAGGGAAGACTTGCCCAGAGATTCTTGTGAAAATGAGGATCAGAATGATGGTAGCGAACACAAGGAGGACAATGGTGAAAGTACTCCAAAACGAACTCGAGTACAAGGTAGTAGCCTTGGTAGACGGGTGGGTGCAGTTTTCTTCTGTTGCTGCTGTTTCTGTGTCTTTGATCCGAAGCGTACTTTAGCCTCCCCCATGCTGCCCCCTCACGGGGTCCCAGTTCATGGCAGATAAAAGTGCTTTGTGTTTTCAACCGCACTGAGACTGACGTCTTTTATTGGTCAGCCGGTAAGCGCGGTCGATGCTAATAATAAAACACACACAGCTGACACGATGACTGTTGGATCTTGGGAGTGTACGATTATCAAATTGGGAGATGCAGCATACCACGATATCCTGGCTTCGGCTGGGCTTGAAATAACCCTTTTGCTGTCCTCCGCTCTTTGCATCAGTGGCTTCCTAGGTTCGGACGAGGGCATGTGTGGAGCTATGGCCGTGTATGTGTTGCTATTTTGTTTGAGTAATCTAGCTGCTGACACGATGACTGTTGGATCTTGGGAGTGTACGATTATCAAATTGGGAGATGAGATGTGTGTCTACGTGAAAGAACATGCTGGGCTTGAAA